TAGTTCCGTTGTGTCATTTGGGATGTGTGTGCAAAATTTCAGGACATTCGGACGTGGTTTGGTTGGATTTTTGATCAAAAGCAGAATTCGGAAGATTTTGGAAACTTAGGCTTGAATCCGATGTGTTTTGGTTGATTCGATGTTGTTTGAGGTGTTTTGAAGATTGGTACAAGTTTGAATTAGGTTATGGGTTATGTTTGTGTTGTTGGTTAAGGTCCCGGGGGCCTCGGAGTGATTTCGGATGGTTGGCGGAAGAATTTGGAATTGAGTTTGCAGCTGAAGCATTTGGTTCTGTCATAACTGCACCTGCGGTTAGGAGGCCACAGGTGCGATGATCGCAGAAGCTAAGGCAGCCACAGATGCGGCCAACATGAAGTCCTTTAGGAACCGCAGAAACGGTGTCATGGGCGCACCTGTGCTACCGCAAGTACGAAGTTTTAACCGCAGATGCGGAGATTGTCATTTTAATGAAAACCGCAGATGCGGTGGAATAGTCGCAGAAGTGGTAATAGGACCACAAGTGCGAAAATACCTGGGTCAGAAAGTATATAATGTTCCTTCGCGAATTTTTGCTAAGTTCTCCATTTTTGAAGACGGGAAGCGAGTTAGGGCAGTGAATTCAAGGGAAAATCGAAGAGAATCAGTTGGGTAAGGAGCCTCATTACTCATGTTTATGATCATTTTTCCATTGTTTAATCATGGTATTAGTGGAAATTAAGGAAGAAAATTGAGGGATTAGGGCTTGAGATTAAGAGACTTTTGAGTGGGTATTTGAGGGGCCATTCGAGGTCCAATTTTGATGTTCTTGATATGTATAGACTCGTGGGAGGATGAGGATTCTATTGATGTCAATTTTGTCAGATTCGAGACGTGGGCCTGGGGGCCGGGTTTGAGCAATTTCAGGATTTTTGATGTAAATTGAATATTTTCGGGTTGCTTTGATGGTAAGCAACCCCCACTTCCAACCGAGAGGTTGTGAGTTCGAGTCTCCCCAAGAGCAAGGTGGGAAGTTCTTGGAGGGAAGGATGTCGGGGGTCTATTTGGAAACAGCCTCTCTACCCTAGGGTAGGGGTAAGGTCTGCGTACACACTATCCTTCCCAGACCCCACTAAGTGGGATTATACTGGGTTGTTGTTGTTGTTGTTGCTTTATTCCCTTAGCATATTTTAATGGTTATGTACTGATTGTGGCTAGATTTGGAGCATCCGGAGGTCGGTTCGTGAGGGCAAAGACATCGCGGGCTAGAGTTTGGACCAGATCGAGGTGAGTAATGATTGTAAATGATGTTCTGAGGGTTCGAAACTCCGAATTGCACATCGTAGTGCTATATTGAGGTGACACACACGCTTGATGACGAGCGTGGGGTCGTGCACTGTTGGGGATTGTGACTTAGTCTGTCCCAAATGACTATTTTATCGTGTATTTGACTGAAATCTATTTGTTATCATCATGTTTTGGGCTGCATACCATATTTGGGCCTCGTGCCAACTATTTGAACCCTTCGGGGATTTTTATTGATATTTTCTCACTGTTTGACTTCAAACTTGTACTCATTCATTCTATATTCTACTGTTTTCAAAACTCAGCCACGTTTACTCTGCTTTAACACTTGAAATGATATTTTAAATAATATTTTGGGCTGAGCATCATGTTTTACTGTTGCCCGAGTGACTTATGTGATTTTTGACTGAGTAAGGCCAATGGCCTGTGTTGTGAGGATACTTTTAGGACAGGTTGCACGGCGCAGTGGTGATACATTGATTATGATTATGAGGCCTTGACCTGAGATTTGTACGCCACGAGGTGGGTTGTTGATATGAGGCCGAGAGCCTAGTGATGATGCCACGAGATGGCTTGATATTGCGCTTGGGCCGTAAGGGGCCCCTCCAGGAGTCTGCACACCCCCAGTGAGCGCGGGTACCCATTGTGATGTGAGATATAGCCCGGGGGCTGGTATTGTTCTGATACATTGCTCGAGGGGTGAATTTATTGACATTGTCCTGAGGGGCGGACCTTTATGTGTTTATCTTTCTTACTTGCCTGTTATTTACCTGTTTAATTGTGTATTTGTGCCCGAGGGGCGGATTTTTTGTGCTTACATGTTCTAATTGCTTTGCATTCAATTGCTTAACTGATAAAAAGTCATTTTTAAAGAGGTTTAAACTGAGCTAAAGTGCTTAAGAGATTTCACAGCTTCATTGCTTTCTTACTGGTTTTGTACTATTCAACACAACATGTTGATGTATTTTTCGTGATTTCCTATCACTCAGTCTTTAGTTATGATTATTACTCACTGAGTCGGAGTACTCACTTTACTCCCTGCACCTTGTGTGCATATTCAGGTGTTTCTGAACCCAGTAGTGGGTATTGGTTGATCAGAGGCAGAGTCATCGGAGCAAGGTAGCTGCCGGTGTTCGCAGCACTGCTTTTCTCCCTTTTGATTTCATTATACTGTATTTAGTACATTTCAGATTTTTCCGTTGTATTTAGACTCTAGTAGATGCTCGTGACTTGTGACATCCCGATGTCAGGCTGTATTCATTTCCGCACTTATTTTATTTCGCTAAATCTATACTTGTTAGGGATTTATCCTTATAAATAACTTAAATTGACCTATTAAACTGTTAAAACTGAATTTTGGAAATTTTGTAGGCTGACCTTGTCTTCACGAGAGGCACCATCATGACCGGCTCCGATTTGGGGTCGTGACACCCTCCCCCGCAAAAAAATTAATTTTTTTTTGGCAATTTCAAATATCTATTTTTTCGTTTTTCTGCACCACCCACCCCAACCCCCTTCACCCCCNATTTGAGTTCGGAGGTTTATGTATTTGGAAGTTTACGGGTTTAGATATTATAAAGTTTACGGATTCGAAATTCCACGCTTTCGAAAGTTTAGCTGTTCGAAAGTTTATGAAATTTGTGGGTCCGGAAGGTTGTTGGTTTGAAAGTTTATGGCTTTATGTTTATTATATCTAAATTATTTATGAATACTCTTGAGAAGTTATTTTCCTTAATTTGGGTACCAAACACCGAAAAATATATAAAATTACTACTTGTTTTCCAAGAAAATATTTTCTTGAAAAATTTTTTTCACGAAAAACATTTTCCGTTATACCAAAGTCCAAACACACTCCAAGTCTGAACCTTGAATGTACTGAATTCTGAAAATGTTGGTCTATGCCTTCGCATAAATGTTTAAAAGAGAAAAGAATCCAGTTCTACAACTTTTGAATATAAAAAATCACAAAAATATTTGTAGATCGTGGAAAAATAATTTAATTCTGAATGTTGGTCTTTGCCTTCTCATAAATGAGTCAACTGTCAACATTGTGTCTGCTGCCAATTATTTTTTTATTTTATTTTTTCATAGCATATTTTTCTGTAAGCAGTTAAATGAGATCTGACAATTAAACATTTTCAATTATTACTGATGAATGTCCAAATCCAACTAGATTGTAGAGTCAAAATTACCTCCTTACTGTTTTGTACATGTCCTCGTGCCTATTGTTATCTGTCCTCTTAGACATCATATTTACATATCACAATATTTATCACTCAGCTCAAACTAGTTAGATCGGTTATACAAATCATTCATATCTAATTTTGCCGTTTCATTTCTTAACAAATTAATCATAATACTAAATAATGTATCTTTAATGTAATTAAGGGGTTGTATTATCTCGGGATTATTATCTCACCCTTCCATAGGGATAAAAATAATACTACAAACCCATGATAACTAATTCCGAGATTAGTTATACCGCAATTTTATCCCAATCAAACGTAAGATAAACTCATCTCAAATTTAATCCTGAAATTAATTATCTCTTATCTCTCGTATCAAACGAGCGCTAAGAGTTCTCTAAATAAACTAAGCTTACGTTTTCATTCACATATAGATCTCTATCAAACATAAAATGCTCTTCGCCAAGCAATTAATCACGAGAAACAAAGTCTTAGGGTTTATTGTTTGGTACGAGAGATAAGGGATAATAATCTCGGGAATAGGTGCGAGATTATTTATCGTGCGTTTGGTTGGACTTTTGAATCCGAAATAGCAATATCGGGATTAATTAATCCCCCAATTGGGTATTATTATATCCGACATTGACAGTGGAATAATAATTTTCGGATCAATTAATCCCGAGATAAATACTAAACTGACAAAGGTGCCCTTCTCCAAAGCTCTTCAGCAAAGTCTTTTGAATAATTTTAACTTATATTCTATTTTTAGTCCAATGAACCAAACATCTTTTAAAGAAAATATATTCAATAAATAATCTCGTTATTATTTAATCTCAATATTATAATTTCATCATTATAGTTTCGAGATAACTTATTTCCCTACCATACGACCGCTTGAAGCAAACAGTATTCCGCAAATCACTGATTCACAAAAAGAAAATGGACCCAAAAAAAAAAAGAGAAAAAAGTTTCATTTACTTGTAAAATTAGAACTCAAATAATTTTGACCTTTTCCCATGTAAAAAGCGTGTGAACTACGCACTTATCTTTTGACATTGATCCCACTCGACTTACTCCATCTATCCCCAGTGCCTTGCTACTTCACTCAAGACTATTTAGTCCACTTTTATTTAATTCTTTTTATCCTTTTAAATTATATTTACAATAATAATAATAAATTCAGAGTAATATGTACTTAATTTTACCCTTATCTTACGTAGATAGAAAAATTATTTTCGATAGATATATTTTCGGCACAGTCCAATATAATCGTAGCATTAAAGGAACAGATATATAGTAATGAAAAGAGTTATGGAAAAGCAACAACAACAACAAAATAGTAACTTTTAATTATTTTAATTTTCATTAATTAATCCTATCAGTTAAGACCAAATACAAATTAAGAAAAGAACAAAAATTTCTTTTCCCGAAAATACCCTTGTAACAACTCTCCAATTTAGCATGTACCACAAGCCCATTTTTGACAGTTCATTAGCGCCACCATTTGATTACTCACTTGCTTAAGCTTTCTGTCTTAAAAACACACACTATAACTGTTCAATGTTCCTGTATTTTCTATTTTCATATACTCACATAAACAAATAAACCAATAAAAAAAAGTTAAAATCCACTGCCTCTTCTCTCTCTTGAAAGCAGAAACCAAATAAGAGATTACTGTTCTTGTTCTTGTTCATCTATTTTGTTGAGAAAAATCCAGTCTTTTTATTGTTTCTCCGACTGGGTTGTACTTATATTTATATAATTTGTGTATTTTGATACATATTTTAGCATTTTTAAGAACCTGTTTCTTATGGGATGCCGCATGAAATTCTTGAATATGGTGTTGGTGGTGGCGGCGGTGATGGCTGCTGCCGCCGCCGTGGCCGTCGGAGCTGAGAAACTGCCAGCGGGAGTGCTTAATTTGGAAAGGATTTTTCCTTTGAACGGGAAGGTGGAGCTGGAGGAGGTTAGAGCAAGGGACAGAGCTAGACATGCTCGAATGTTGCAGAGTTTTGCTGGTGGGATTGTTAATTTTCCTGTTGTCGGTTCATCTGACCCTTATCTTGTCGGGTAATTATTTTGTCACACCATTTTGATAAGATTATGTTGTTATATTTGTGATGTTTTTAGTGTTTTCTTCCTTTGTCTAATGTGGAGTTATATTGCTATATTGGTATGATGATGATATGAGTTGAGCTTAAATGAAGAAGTGATGATTCGTATAGCCGAACCCCTCTTGTTTGGGACTGAAGTGTTGTTGAGTTTTGTTCGGTTAATTTAGTCACCTTTGGGGAAAGTTTGATTCTTTAGGATGTTAAAACTTGGAACTTTTGGTGAATGTATGGAAGCTATGGAAAATTTGATGTGTTATTAATGTCTTATGAATTTGGTCTCACAGATTCTGAGGTAAATTTTGTGTTTTTTTAGTTTGAAGGTAATTGATTTTAGTTGCACTTGTGGGCTTGGGATTTTAGATTACATTCCCGTGAAGTCTCTTTTAAATATTGATTTTCAGTGTATTAAAGTAGTTGTAAGGCAATGAATTTTGATATGCTGTTTTCCTTTTCTAGGTGCTTTCTTGTTAATTATCGGTTGGTTGGTGATTTTGACGTTAGTGATAATTCTGTTTGCTTTAATTTGTATGGTTTCTTGTTCTGGTGCAAAATATTTAGGTAGGATCGAATGATGAGTTTCACGTTGCTCTAAAGATGACCATTTGCTATATCAGTTTGGCATTTGCTTTCTGTTGTTTGAGGATGACTGATATTCTTATTGATTTGAATATCGACTTTGTTGACCATTGTCTTTCTTTCTCTCTCTCTTTCTTCTATGCTTACTTTTGTAGCCTTTATTTTACAAAAGTAAGACTGGGAACTCCACCAAGAGAATACAATGTGCAGATTGACACAGGCAGTGATATCCTGTGGGTAACATGTAGTTCCTGCGATGATTGTCCTCGGACAAGTGGACTTGGGGTAACTCATCTTCCTTTCATCTTGTTATTGCTTTTTTAGTTTCTTGTATAAAGTGTTGTGAAGGAATAAACTTCTGTTGGAAGCTGCTGACACTGTTACATGTGTGCAGGTTGAGCTCAACTTCTATGACGCTACCATCTCGTCAACTGCTTCTCCCATTTCTTGTGCAGACCAAGTGTGCGCTTCTATAGTTCAAACTTCCTCAGCTGAGTGCTCTACGGAAACCAATCAGTGTGGTTACTCCTTTCAGTATGGAGATGGGAGTGGCACAACTGGTCATTACGTAGCCGATTTATTATATTTCGACACAGTCCTGGGAACCTCATTGATTGCCAACTCTTCAGCGCCGATTATTTTTGGGTGAGTTGTTATTTCTTAAATATCCTTACACCTTTACTTAAATTTTCATTAGAAAAAGTTGTGGGTCATTTGAACCAGAAATATCTTTGGCCAAATTTATGAAAAAACCATGTTTGTTTACCCAAAGCTTATACTTGGATATGAATTAAAACAGGTGCAGCACCTCTCAGTCTGGGGACTTGACCAAAACGGACAGAGCAATTGATGGGATATTTGGGTTTGGTCAACAGGGTCTTTCAGTAATATCTCAACTGTCTTCTCATCGGATTACTCCTAAAGTATTTTCACATTGCTTGAAAGGAGAGGGAAATGGTGGAGGTATACTAGTCCTTGGTGAGATTTTGGATCCGAGAATCGTATATAGTCCCCTTGTTCCGTCACAGTACGTATTGTTACAGTACAACAAAGTTCCTTTTCTTGCTTATGACGAATATATAGATTTAATAGTTTTCATCTTTAGTGTGACTTGTGCTAATAGTTGCCATATGTCCATCAATTATAGCTTTTAATCCATGGGTATTTTTGCTTTGCACGTACATAATAAGCTGTACTGAATACATATCCTGGTTGTGTTTATTTTTTATGCTTTTCGACATTGTTTGTTTTCCAACTATAAGCACGGGGATGAACTGGGCACTAGGGAAGAAAATGGTTTTTTAGCGAGCTTGATTATATCCGCTCTCCACTTTTGCAGGGCACATTACAATGTATATCTGCAGAGCATTGCTGTTAATGGACAGTTGGTGCCTGTTGATCCATCAGTGTTTGCGACATCTGGCAATCGAGGAACTATTGTGGATTCTGGTACAACTTTGGCTTATATTGCCGCAGAAGCTTATGATCCCTTTGTCAATGCTGTAAGTTCCTACATTTGGCCAATTTGTTGACTCCCTCCGTCTCAACTTGAATGTCCAATTGCTCTCTTTGTCTGTACCAAAATTATATCCGCATCTTCTAAATATAAAAACTAACAACAACAACAACTACGCCTAAGTCCCAAGCAAGTTGGGGTTGGCGAAAAAGGGCAGATAACTGTTGATCAAAACCCCTGAAAATTGTTTTACCATTCATCTGCAGATAACTGCTGCTGTTTCACCATCAGTTAGGCCAATCATCTCACGAGGAAAACCGTGCTTTTTAGTCTCCTCAAGGTTCGTCCTTGTATAATTCAATAGATATTTAATTTGAGCTCTTAACGGCAAAAATGTCTTTACCCATCTGTTTTGGTGACTCAAATATGACACCCTGTTTCGTTCTGAAAACAGCATCACAGAGATATTTCCCCCAGTTTCTCTGAACTTTGACGGCGGTGCATCGATGGCTTTAAGACCAGCAGACTACCTTGTGCATATGGGCTTTGTTGTGAGTACCGGAATCTCATTGTGTTTAAATGTCTTCTTGAAGTCTCATCTTAGACTATATAAACAATGCTATATTCAGCCCTGTTGTCTTTTTGATGAACTACAAAGCTAAGCGACTCAATTGAATGTTTCTAACAGGAAGGTGCTGCTATGTGGTGCATCGGCTTTGAAAAACAGGATCAAGGTGTAACAATTTTAGGAGGTTGGTTCCTTGTTTACTAGACATGCCTCAACCCCAATTTTCTATTAGAATATTAGGTCATTGATTTGCAATTTGAAAATCGTAGCTTGAAGATTGCAGTCCCTTTGTCTTTTCTAATTTTGCATCCGTTCTTTTATTGTGATTGACCAGAGGATAGGTATACTTGTACTACCAGTAATTCGGTTAGATATGTTCCGGGGCGTGCCAAGGAATTTTTATTTCCGATTTTGCCTAGTTTTTCAATGTTTGTCTTATATATCTTGTAGAGGCAGTAGTGATTGTTACTTTGATGTTGAAATACAGCGTAGGGTGGACTCCATAGAAAGTTAATCCGTGGTAAGTGGTGTTAGACTGGATACATGACTGCACTCCTAAATTAAGGTTGGAGCTGCATTTAATAGGTCTATTCCTTGCGTGTGTATGTGTAAAACCAAGCACAATGTTATGACCAACAGTAATCTTCCTTTTTGGGGGNTGGGTGAGTTAACCATTACCATACATGGTGAGGTTTCAGGATGCATGCTAGTTGCAGATGATAGTATTAATTAACGAAATTAATCAAAAGCTCCATGGGGAAACACTCTAGGGAGTAGGGGGCAAGGTTTTGGAATAAGTAGAAGCAAAACACTATCTAGGCAATGCAAGTTTACTCCGCCTAAAAAGTATTAAGGTGAAGCGATAGTAGATATAATTATGGTGCCTTGTAAGTAGTTTAAGGATTAATATCTTTCTGTAGTCTGTACCACCTTTTGTAATTATGGACGACTGCACTAGCTTTGGTGCAGTTAATATATATACAACAAATGTTACCTTCTCAAAAAAAAGAAGAAGTATGGTGCCTAAATGGCAGACAATCAAGTTATTTAAGCTCAAATCTTCCAGGAGAATAGAGAATGCCGTGGTAGATGAGGAAGAAACACAGAGAACTGAAATATGCCGGTTGACATGAAAGAGTGTTGCATGAGTGTTTTACGATAGAAAGATTCCTAGCAAATTGAAAAATAAGTTAGTATAATGGTAATGGGACCAACAACAATATGTAAGAGTTAACATTACATGTCCACTAACTGACAACAACAACAACAACAACAACTACCCAGTAAAATCCCACATAGTGGGGTCTGGGGAGGGTAATGTGTACCTAGACCCTACCCCTGCCCCTATAGGGGCCGAGAGGCTGTTTCCGATAGACCCTCGGCTCAGAATACATGTCCACTAACTGAATATCGTAAAAATGCGGATGTTAAGATAGTTGCGCAATTATACAAGATTGGACAAGATTAGAAACAATCACTTTTGTCAAAGGGTGCAAGGCACACATAAAGGATGAAAAAGAGGTCACATGAGATGGTTTGTCCATATCCTATGTAGACCGCCATATGAACCGGTTATTAAGTGCCGCAACATGGTGTTGAAAGTGCAACGGGAACGAGGTATAACTGATGAATACAATCAAGAACATTGTCCCAAATGACTTACAATTTCATGGAATCAATACGGCTTGGGTGCAAATTTATTTTAGTCATGCCTGTGCCCTCGGGCTCCTTCCTCTTCCCTCCTAAACATTCTAGCTATTCAATTAGTTCTGCTGGTTTTTGGTATACAATCCTGTGTTAGCTAAAGTTAAGAGATTTAACCTTTTAACACCACTAGCCCAAGGTGAATCATTTCCACGAATCAACTTTTATGGATAATTTGAAGTAGAAATGCTCAAAAATTGTCTGACTGTGCCCTCGGGCTCCTTCCTCTTCCCTCCTAAACATTCTAGCTATTCAACTAGTTCTGCTGGTTTTTGGTATACAATCCTGTGTTAGCTAAAGTTAAGAGATTTAACCTTTTAACACCACTAGCCCAAGGTGAATCATTTCCACGAATCAACTTTTATGGATAATTTGAAGTAGAAATGCTCAAAAATTGTCTGACTGTGATTTTGGCATTTGAACCATGTATTCCTTGTCAATTGATTCATCTTCATTTGTCGAGTAATCCAGATCCATAGATAAACAAGAATCTAGGTTGGTCTAACTGTATTTTTCTTGATTTTCAGATCTTGTTTTGAAAGATAAGATCTTTGTGTATGACTTGGCTCGGCAGAGGATTGGATGGGCAGATTATGATTGTAAGTACCTCTTTTTAGAAATGAAGTCAGCATTTGCTTTTATCTCCATTTTGCCCCTTTATTTTCTTATTTCTTTTTATTTTTTGGGTTTTTGGGGT